TCTATCCCCCGTATCCGCCGCCACCCCTCGACCCCCACCCCACAACGATGTCAACACTCACAGGCCGCGGCCCCAGGATCCATAAAAGTGAGACAATTCTGTGCCGCATTGGCCGCCTTTGTCTCCAGCAGCGCGAGCTGTACTGAAATAAGGTACCATCCTTGAGGTGTTTATGATGTAAATGTCATAATTTGATATTTTATGTTTTATTTTGTGATAAAAATGGCACATTTTTAGTTAAATTCATCTTTTTTATTAAAATCAAATGTTTATTTCACAAAATATAGTATTAAGAGAAATTTATCATGCAAGTCGTAACCAGAGCCCAAGCTGATCATCATAGCCGGTAAACACTTTTGTTGAACCCTTGACGACACGAAACCTTGATGTCACTAGGAGAGTCACCATTTATTGCGAGGATTTCAGGGGAGTGTGTGGGGGAGCGGACGTGGTTGCGTGTTAAGTTAGGAATATTCACTAGCTGCATCGCCTGATTTTCTGTCATAATTTGAGGTATGAAGGTTTTTCAGACCAGCGTGTTCCTTACCTGGTGCATGCGTGATCTATGCTGCAGTGATGTAGGTGATTGTCGTGCCCACGTAGAAAGTATGGCGGATTTAAGGCTGGAACCTACAAAGTAGAGGAGGATTTTGTAGATAGCCTGCTGTTTAACTGGTATCTAATTTCACCTGCGTTTTGGTATCAAGTGTTTCTAAATTGAGCTGACTATTTGCATTGTTTTGTTGATGCTGAATGTGAGCATTGAGGATGACATAAAATTCAAGACATTTGTGCCAGAAAATTCATATGCTGCATCAACATTACAATTCTTGAAGCAGTGTTAACTACTTTTGATGGCTGTTGTGTGCTGTTGTATTTGATGGAGTTAAATGCAGTCTCAAAAGTCTAAAGGGATGCATATGAAATTGTAAGAAACATAAGAATTTATCATGTGGATAATGGCTGACTCCTGTCATATCAAAAAGTATTGTTAAATGACAAGTACTAAATGAAATCAGAAGAGAAGTTTGATAGAGATTTTACAGGTGATTGTGAGCTTTAAGGTGCCAGAATTGTTAAGCACTTCCATGACATATTTTAGTTGTTATACAATATGCTCTCTTAATACCACCCTGTCTTTTGAAGACCACTTTTTATCAGCATGAGATATTTATTTTGTGATGAATGGACTGGATATGACTGGGTTAAGCCAGACATGAATGTGTAGTTTCTTTAGTTCAGCAAATTATGAATTTCTCTTGGATGGATTGAAGAGTGTTATCAGGCATATGTTGTGTTACTTACATTTACTTTGTCTGCATCATTTGATATAAAGATCATGCTAAGATATAATATTTGTTATCTCCATGATAAGGTTTGGGATTAGGAGCATTAACACCTTGAGGTAATGCAAACATTAATCTGTTCAGACCAGCAGTGTGGTCATATCATGTGATGACTGTCTCCTACTGCTTTCTAACCACTGTTAGCACTTGATGGGAGATGATCATTTTAACCAGCAGCAAGCATGCAAAGTAGTGCATGTGATGCTCATGCAAGTCCAGTGGCACTTTGGTCCATATGTCACTCATGTCCATAGATATGCTAGCATATGCCTGTTATAGAAAGTAACTGTTGCATCCACATACTCATGTATGTCTCAGTTATGCCACTCATTTTCTAGCTTTAACACAGGGAAATTTGATTGAGAAGAGCATAGAGGATGTATATTTTGGTTTATCATCAATACAAGGTATAATGTTTGTCATCAATACAAGTATAATGTGTAAGGAGAAATGTTGGTGCCCTAGATTATGATGACATCAGTATTGGTTTTTGACTAATCAAATGCAATCAATTTATCATCAATGCAAGTTATAATGTTTATCATCAATACAAGGTATAACGTTAATAGGAGAAATCATGTCAGTGCCCTAGATTAGGACAAATCAGTATTGGTTTTTGACTCCTTCCCATGTCTCTCACTAAAACATTGAAACACATGTATTAATAGCTGTGATGTGGATGTATTGGCCAGTGTTGGACTGTCTTTGCCTGCAATCTGGTGGTTTTCCTGAAACCCATAGTATGTTACCAGGTTTAATACTGCAGGACTGATGTTTTTGTACTTATTACTAAGGGCATTGGTTATACTTTGACCAACTAGCAGCATGTAGCTGAGTTTTTATTGTGAAAAGCTGGTATGAGGTATATTAATTACTTCTTGGTGTTTCTTATTTGGATATCACCTTCTAAAGGGCTGCTATGCTAAATGCTTTGTTGCATTTGTGTGTATGTTTTCATGTGTGCTGGTACTCCTGCATTTGAAATTGTAAAAGCAACAGAACATTCAGCTCAGCAAATATATTGAACACTAAACAACACTTTCCATGATAGCACAGTTACATTGTCATTCCTGGTGTTTTCCATGTCCATCAGATAGAGAGCATTGGGCGGTCTGCCCCATGTGTTCCGCCGTGCCGATCGCTGCCGTTCTGCCTGGCGCCCGTTGTGCCACCGGCCACCGCACGCTGAACCGGCTCGTACGGTCCGTCCGCAGGCTGCTCGCCGGCCGGCAATGGTAGCCGGCGCTCGGTGGACGCGGCAATGGACCAGAGCCAGGCGCCGTGCATCGAGCTGTCCACGAACGCAGAGGAACGACAGCGCACCGAGGCGACCGCCTCGAACACGAGCCGCCGCCTCTAACGAGCCGCTGCTGCCTGACGTCGCCTTCGGGCCGTCCTTCATCAAGCTGGGCTCGCCGCGGCCGGGACGCGAAAACCAGCCGCTGCTCGGCGGCATGGACTACGACTACACCTTCAATCACTGGCCCGGTGAGCGGTCAGAGGGTGTGCCGCGGCCGGGCTGGGCCTGCCTGGTCTCTGACACACGGCACGGTGCTGCACTCACCCAGGCGCTCGGTAGGAGCCCGTTTCTGCCCAAGGTGTTGGATCTTAGGAACACTGACCATCGCGGCACCGCAGACAAATTGGTGCCCGATTTGTCCGCGATGCTATGTGTGAACGCATGAGCTCGGGACTACTCTGTCAGTTGTCATGAGAATGGTTGTAGGTGTGTAGTGCTACAGTTATGCTGCTTTGTGCAAAGATGGAATGATGAGTTGCAGCAGTCGTTTGGCATTGTATTTATCCTTGCTCTGGTCATTCCGTACAACCACGTTAGTGTAATACTTACCCGATGTGTTCGTACGTTGGCTGTCGGGTTCAAGGACAAGGTCTCAGCCATCTGTGAAATGCGCGCTTTGGCACGTGTTTGCATGCGCGCCCAGCTGGGTAAGGTTACACACTAGCCTATGGGAGCGCGCTGCAGAGATCCTCCTGGCCTCACACCTGAGTGAGCCGGTGTGTGGCCTCCTGCCGCGAGCCATCGCCGCTCGTGCGGCTGCGTGCGGGCTGCAGGGCCGCTGCTGACGTCCGGGCGTGAGGGTGTGAGTATGCGTGTGGCAGGAGGTCAACGACCCGGTGTGCCGCGCGTGCGTGATGGCACGTGCGCACGTTTCAGATGACGGCGAGTTCAACGGACCTGGTGCGCCAGGCCGAAATGGCCGTCGAGAACGGCATCTACCCGGAGCGCATCTTCCAGGGCTCCAGTGGCAGCTACTTCGTGAAAAATCCGGAAAACGTGAGCCGTCAGCCGCCCCTGCTGTTGTACTGGAGGGAGTGAGAGATGGTGTATGAGAGAAGTGTCATGAGGATGTGGGAAATGTCATAAGAAAACGCTGTAAACGTAGTCACCGTGCGGCACAGTTTCAGTATCCTGGACAGTTGTGTTTAGACCTAGGAATGTCGTGCCAAGAAGTGTCCCAAACACGACAGCTATCAGCAAGCTGATAGCCGATGGCACTTAAGTTATATCTCGTCTGGCTCGGTCCAGGCGCATCCTCGGTCGCCCAACGCGAAACTGAACCCTCCACGCGCCTGGTCAGAGGCACCGGACTGGTGTCGACACCGTGTGGACGGGGCGCCCCGGCTGCCGCCGGAAGACGGGGCGTCGGGCGGTACAGGCTGTTATGACTACAGAGACTTGCTCAGGCATTGTATCACCTCTGTCTGGAGCAGCGTGGAAACAACGCAGCACTTCTGTCAGACTGCCCGCATGCTGTGTGTGACTGCAGAAAACGCAGAGGCGTGTTCTGAACCGGTTGCACTCTGACACTTGAGGGCGTGCCTACGGCCGGTCCCGCTTGCTGTCAGCGCGCGCGCATGGTTATTTAGAGCAGCTGTTCCCGTCACTAACGGCGCCGGGGGCCGTCCGTTTGCAGAAGACGATTGCCGTGTTCAAGCCCAAGGACGAGGAAGCCGTACGGCCGGCTGAACCCCAAGTGGACCAAGTGGATGCACAACTGTGCTGTCCCTGCTGCTTCGGCCGCTCGTGCCTGGTGCCCAACCAGGGCTACCTCTCCGAAGCCGGCGCCAGCCTGGTCGACCAGAAGCTGGCGCTCAACGTCGTGCCGAAAAACCAAGGTTGCGGGTCGGGGGCGGGGCGGGGCGATCGAGGCCGCGGGGAGCAGGCGCTTTACGTGACGTGTGGTGGCGCCTGATGTGTGCTCGTGGTGGCGAGGAGCGGCTGACTTGGCTGTCAGAAGGTGGTGACAGACTGACACCATTTGGGGCGTTATTCTCTTGAATTTCGCCGGGTAAGCAGCGAATAGTCCTGTTTCCAGGAATGGGGTTCGCCCTCTGTTGGCTTAGTTGAATGTTTAATGATATGATGTCATCGGCAAGCGTTGGTCGTCTCTCAAAGAGATATTGGTGATTAGCATGAGTGGCATAACTGCTGCCATGCGTTTACGATGCATTAATGAGCGTACGTTTATGTCGGTATAGTGCTCTCGGCTTGTAACCTCGCCAGGAATAGGTCATGAAGCCATTATGGTAGGATCGTAGTTCGTCGGTGAGGCTGATTGTTCGTCAGTGTGTCGTTCGAATGGTCGAAATGTTTGTATTTCATGCGTGGTTGTGAACACGTGAACACTAGTCGCGTCCGGCAGAGTAGGCTCCAGGGTAGCTTCCGACTTGTTATGACGCAGCGCGGCTTCCAAGATGTTGTTCGTTGTGCCGTCACTGTCCCGAATGAGTCTCGGATGTCATCCGGTTTCTGCGTGTTCACTGTGTGTTCGGTGTGCTGTGGTGTAGCGCACGTGACGTGACGTACCCCGTTAAGCAGGCCGGCTGTGGTCGTGGGAGACCAGCATGCCGATAGCGTAGTGGTTAAGCTTCGCGTCTGTGAATCCAGAGGCACGGGGCTCGATTTCCCGTTAGATTTCCCCGCCCCTCCTGCCAGGGCGAGAGGCGGGCGGCGTTATTTAGCCTCAGCGGCTGAGTACGTCGCAGAGTCCCCATCACACACGCGGTCGTGGGAGAATTGTACGTCCGTCCGACGTACCGACATGACACGTCTGAAGACCGCTTATCGTGTGCCGCAGATGGTGAAGCTGGCCAGCGACACGTTCAACTACACCAGGATCGACAGGGAGAAGGCTCGGGTGAAGCAGCTGGTCTCCGAAAGGTTCCCCAAAGTGGGCAGGAAGTTCCACAGGCTGGGCCTCCCTCCCAAGGTACCGGTCGTCCTCGCCCGACGGCGTGCGCCCGGACAGGCGCGGGGTGCTAATGGGAGGGGTCCGCTCGCCCATTGTTTGGCAATGTTGTCCGGTGCGTCTCGCGCACGACTGAGCCGCTGTCACTTTCCCATCAGAAAGCGTATTAAACCGGCGAGCTGGCAGGAATGCATATTGCATGGCATGTTCATTACTGTGAGTGGCGCGTTCTGGAACATTTCCCAGCAAAGCAGCCGTGTTCTAAATGCGTGACTGTCGTGGCTGCCCTGTACTAGACACTCCTTTCCTTCGTGGCCTCTTTCAGTAGCCTTTTTAAAACCGCGCGTGCATAGCGGGTTCAGGTCTTCCGCGAGACCGTGGCGGATCGGCCACGCGACCTGGTGACGTAGCCGGCGCCGGCCCGTTCCAGGTGGGCTCGTTCCAGCTGTTCGTGGAGGGCTACAGGGACGCCGACTTCTGGCTGCGGCGGTTCGAGCAGGAGCCCCTCTCGGACGAGCTGCAGACCGAGTTCCAGCTGCAGTTCGAGCGACTGGTGACGCTCGACTACATCATCCGCAACACGGACCGCGGCAACGACAACTGGCTCATCAAGTACATCCGGCCGGATGAGCAGCAGGTGAGGGCCGGCATCCCGACGGAAGGTCTGCGGTGGAGCCGGAGGCGCGGTGTTGGCGGGCTGGAGCTGGCTCTGTTGTGGTTGGCCGTATTGGAGGCACTGGATCCGAAGTGTCATGTTAGTGAAGTGGCGATAACATTGTGGTCTTTACTGTAGGCTTTACTGTAGGCTTTACCCTGTGTGGTGGTCCCTTGCGTGAACTCGTGACCTGCGTAACCGTCACCCTGGTGACCTCGGCGTGGTGGCCCGGTACCTTAACCCCGTGACCTCGGTATGGTGGTTGGGATCGTGACCTCGGTGCGGTGGCCCGGCACCTTACCCCCATGACTTCGGTGTGGTCGCCCGGTACCTATCCCGTGACCTTGGTGTGGTGGTTGGGTCCGTGACCTGGTGGCCCGCCTTCAGTCGGGAGACGGCGGCGGCCCCAGCCGGCCCGTCATCCGCGTCGGCCGCCATCGACAACGGCCTGGCGTTTCCCGTTCAAGCACCCGGACTCGTGGCGTGCCTACCCGTACCACTGGGCGTGGCTTTTCCTGGGCCAAGCGGCCCTTCTCCACGCAGACGCGCGACCACGTGTTGCCGCTCATCTCGGACATGAACTTCGTGCAGGACCTGTGCGACCAGCTGTATCGGCTGTTGAAGGTCAGTAGGCGGAGGAGGAGGAGGGGGGGGGGGGGGGGGCGGTCGGCTGCGCTCCGCCCGGCCTGGGGCGGGCCCGCCCGGCTGCCAATCCAATCAGGCCGGGGTTGATAGTGACCCCGGTCAAGGCCGGAGCACCGGGCTGCGGTTGCACATGTCTTTCGTTTGTTTGTGGCTATTGAGCCGCAGTCGAGCCACTTTTCGATTTCGCGTGTCTGCGGCGCCACCCGTGCCATGGGTGCTATAGCGTTCGGGCTAAAAAGCGCTTTCGGTCCAGTTTGCTGGAGCAAGCGTTCCTTCGTGAGCGTAAGCTCCGCCTCCATCTTATTGCTATTGATTCGTGGTATGGATAAGGGGCCCAGGATCATAGCCTTACCTGCCACGTCACTTGGGTGCACCGGATGCGAAATCGATGGGTGGTCCGTCGTTGATCCGTTCGAGCTAATCAGCCGCTGGGACAGCTGGGACCGGCGCCGGTCTGGGGGGGGGGGGGAGGAGGGTTGAGGGGATCGTGCGCCGTCGTCAGCCGCCGCCGACACTGAGCCTGTCGTGACGGCGGATCGCGACGCCGCCGGCCGGCGCTCCCCGCCCCGCCGCCGCCGCCTCCGCCGGCCGGCTCGCGCACAGATCGCTCCGCACCGCGCCGGGCCCGTCACGAGCTGGGTGACGTCACCGGGCCGATGGCGCCCGCTGCGTCGCCTGCTCGGCGGAGTGGCTGGCGCCGCCGAGCCGAGCCGAGCCGAGCCCGGCCGGCCTGGTTTTGAGTGTGGGGCACGGACGGCTCGCCCGGCCGCCGGCAGCGCGTCCGTGTGGCCATGACAGTGCCAGGCGTGACTCACGAGTCACGCGCCGTCGGGTGGGAATGTTCCGATGTTGTGACGCGCGTGCGCGGTGACATGGGTGTGTGGAGCGCGTGCTCGTTGGCGCATTAGCCCCTCTGTGTTGATTGCCAACAAATCAGTCGGGTGGGTCTTGACCAGACGTGTTCTGGTCTGGCGTTACGGGACCGGCAGGCAACCGGTATTATCTGACCCAGTCTGGACCAGACGGGACTAAAACCGAAGCGGATTGGGCTTGACCTGACCTAACCTGATCTGGTCCGACCGGAAATGACCGTTGTTGGGTACGGAAGACAGCCAAAAAGTTTTGAAGGCTGATTGATTGTGTGTGGCTTGGTGTCTTTTTTGTGGCGTCGATAGTTATGAGTCCAAGCGACGGTCTTTTAGCATCTAGATTGTAACAGTCCTTGGGATGATCCATCCTTTGGGAAGGATCAATCGATATACTGTAATTTGAGCTTATAGATAAGCCAGTAGTAATAGGCTTATTCCTCGTAGAAAAACCGGGACAATGGAGAAATAGATGCGCTGATACTTGGCACATGCCTTACCGAAACGAATAACAGCAGTAAATTTAAAATTGCGTCCCGATCCTACTCCATTTTTCAGTTTTTCTTTCCTTTTTACGGGCCAGCCAGTTTTTACGGTCACCAAAATTGGGGTGGGGAGATAAAACAAGGAGGCATCGCCAGCCATTACTATGTTACAGTGCATATCTGACTGAGAAGTCGAATGTGCAAAATGTCTGTCATTTGCAAACATGGGAACAAATTCAAGTGAACAGGCATTGCGCATCACGCTTCATTTAAACACATGCGATTCCAAGTGAACAGGCATCACGTGTCACGCATCAATTATACATGCAAACGATTTCAATTAGATAGATACCGCGCACCACGCGTCAGGCACCACTCATGCATGTGAACGATTTTAAGCAAGCACGCATCACACAGCAAGGCACTTACCACATTCGCATAATCGGCCCGGATCCGGCCGAGTTATCTACAGAGAACAGGGCCATCCAGACAAGAAATGAATGCAAAGTGGAAATGAGAGAGTTCAATCCCCCTTTTGCCTGTTTGAAGAGGATTCTTCTCATTCAGCACCGTGTGATTAACAGAAAATATCGCAAAAGTGGAAGAACCGTGGCGTCCCGCCCCTTTCAATGAGCTTGCGCCCACGGTCTCTCCGTACCTTCGTATATTTCCACGCGTATGTATCACAGCATATCGACCTATTTTCTTGTATTCACTTAGCTTGACCCCGCCCCCTCCCCATGATGCATCGTAAACTATTGAGCAGAAGCCATCAGCTTGATCTGCCATATAGGTGCGTGACCCAAGTAGCTCCCATTGGATGGCCCCCAGATGGAAGATGTTCAAGTGGTGACTCATATCACCTACGACGGATAGCCATTGATGTTGGGCGGTGTTGCGTAGTTTTCGTCTAGTGACTTTGTGCGGTTCCGAAAACCATGCGGTCTGTTTCGGTGGGTTTGCGTGGCGGGCTGGTGGACAACGCAGTGTGCGGTGTGGCGCTGCGTCGGGCGATGTGCCGACCTCCTGTGTGCAGCGGCTCTCTAGTGACGGCAGACACACCCTCCTGTGTGCAGCGGTTCTTCGGTAATGGGAGACACGCCCTCCTGTGTGCAGCGGCTCTCTAGTGACGGGAGATACGCTCTCCTGTGTGCGGCGGCTCTCTAGTGACGGCAGGCACGCTCTCTTGTGTGCAGCGGCTCTCTAGTGACGGCAGACACACCCTCCTGTGTGCGGCGGCTCTCTAGTGACGGCAGACACACCCTCCTGTATGCAGCGAATCTCTAGTGACGGGAGACACGTCCTCCTGTGTGCAGCGGTTCTTCGGTAATGGGAGACACGCCCTTCTGTGTGCAGTGGTTCTCTAGTAACAGGACACGCCCTCCTGTGTGCAGCGGCTCTTTAGTAACGGGAGACACGCCTTCGTGTGTGCAGCGGCTCTCTAGTGACGGCAGACACGCTCTCCTGTGTGCAGCGGCTCGCTAGTGATGGCAGACACGCCCTCCTTTGTGCAGCGGCTCTTGAGTGACGAGAGACACGCCCTCCTGTGTGCAGCGGCAGTGACGGCAGACACGCCCTCCTGTGTGCAGCGGTTCTTCGGTAATGGGAGACACGCCCTCCTGTGTGCGGCGGCTCTCTAGTGACGGGAGATACGCTCTCCTGTGTGCGGCGGCTCTCTAGTGACGGCAGGCACGCCCTCTTGTGTGCAGCGGCTCTCTAGTGACGGCAGACACACCCTCCTGTGTGCAGCGGCTCTCTAGTGACGGCAGACACACCCTCCTGTATGCAGCGAATCTCTAGTGACGGGAGACACGCCCTCCTGTGTGCAGGCGGTTCTTCGGTAATGGGAGACACGCCCTTGTGTGTGCAGTGGTTCTCTAGTAACAGGACACGCCCTCCTGTGTGCAGCGGCTCTTTAGTAACGGGAGACACGCCTTCGTGTGTGCAGCGGCTCTCTAGTGACGGCAGACACGCTCTCCTGTGTGCAGCGGCTCGCTAGTGATGGCAGACACGCCCTCCTTTGTGCAGCGGCTCTTGAGTGACGAGAGACACGCCCTCCTGTGTGCAGCGGCTCTAGTGACGGGAGACACGCCCTCCTGTGTGCAGCGGTTCTTCGGTAATGGGAGACACGCCCTTCCGTGTGCAGTGGTTCTCTAGTAACGGGAGACACGCCCTCATGTGTGCAGAGGCTCTCGAGTGACGGGAGACACGCCCTTCTGTGTGCAGCGGCTGCCGAGTAATGAGAGACAGGCCCTCCTGTGTGCAGCGGTTCTTCGGTAATGGGGGACACGCCCTTCTATGTGCAGTGGTTGCGTAGTAACGGGAGACACACCCTCCTGTGTGCAGCGGCTCTCTAGTGACGGGAGAGACGCCCTCCTGTGTGCAGCGGCTCTCTAGTGACGGGAGACACGCCCTCCTGTGTGCAGCGGTTCTTCGGTAATGGGAGACACGCCCTTCTGTGTGCAGTGGCTCTCTAGTGACGGCAGACACGCCCTCCTGTGTGCGGTGACTTTATAGTGACGGGAGACACGCCTTCCTATGCGCAACAGCTCCTCAGTAACGGGAAACACACCTCCTTTCCGCCGGCGGCTGACCTGACCGCAGCGGTAGGACGCCATCGACTGGTGGGAGCGAGCAAGCCGCTACAGTCCTGTTGTGTCCAAGTTGATCAGGTGTTATGAAATCCGCCCACGGTGGTTTTTCTTGCTTGCAGCGGTTTGTGGCTTTATGTTGACAAAACATGTCAAGCAGCAAGAAGGCATGTGTACCAGGTCCGCCTCGACTTCGGTCTGGGCTCCGCGAAGACGTGGTTTTCTTCCAAAGACTTTGGCTTCTAGGCATTCTTCGCAGTGACTGTGATTTGGGTTAGCGTCATCTTCGGCCATGGCTTCGCGCCATTGAGCGGTTGGCTTTGTTAGCGAACATTTGTGTTATATGTTATGGCTTCGTCTTCGGCTTAATCTGATCTTGAACTGCTGGCTTTGGTTATGTCATGGTGATTTGTTTTCATTGCAGCTGTTACCTTCTTTCAAACAGTCCTCCTCTCCCTGTGACCTCAATATACCACACATGTTTTCGACGCCACGAAGAATGCATGGATTAGAACTGACGACAGCTGGAGAATGAACTGTCCGGAACGATTTGTACCCAATGGTGCGCAAGACCAGGACGGCAGTCCAGTAAAAAATCATCCGTATTGTCGACACCTCGTCTCAGTCGCTCCGCAAAACCCTCAGTGTATGCTCCGGTCCCATGCAGTTTTGCGACAGGGAATATCGTTTGGATTGGGCAAAACAACGCTGCCCTCTAGGGTCAGACTCAGCTTCGGTCTCGTGACATTACTTACGCTGATGGGTTTGGCTTTAGCTTTGCGTTTCCTAAGTTCGAAGCCGCTGACTTCGGCTCCGGCCACGTGTTTATAAAGTTAGAATTATGAGAAAAGTTAGAACTATGGCCTCTGTTTCAAAGCCAAAAGCTTGGCTTCGCCCCATACCTGAAATCAAGCACACAGCTGCGTATATCGGTATTGAGTGGTCTCCGGGTATGCATGAACCACCATGCCGCGCGTGATGGACCACGTAGCCGGTGAAGGACATAATAAGCGGGCGGACGGGAACAATGACCCCAATTTAAAGGCGTAGAATGTGTAAGTGGTAGCGCGGGTCACGTGCATGCGAAATGGGTTATTCGTTTATCAGCGATCACTGCTTAGCCCACAGGGTAATTGCCATTCATGATGACAGGGCTGGTGTAGGCTGTATTGCCGTTACCCGCGTCCCCCGCGTATGTACCAAGTATGTACAAACAAAACAAAAAAATTGTCGGCAAAAAATAATGCCCTGTTCTGTGGAATATTGCTCCGCGTCTCTGATATTGTGTCCTAATGTTCCGTGGGAATAGGTTGTGATGAATACTCTATGCACGGATAGTAATAGCGTTCTGGCTTTTTTGCATGGATATCGAACCGACATCCCATTTATCCCTCCCTTACCTTTCCCAGATGGCCTTCTCATTGACATCGCCATGCGTTATGTGGTCCGGGACTTCGCTGTTGATGTGTGACGGTCCACCAAATAGCATGTCGAAATCGCCTGCCGCCCTCCGCCAGACGGACAAGGGGTTCGACAAGAACCTGTTCGAGCACCAGATGTCGGTGATGCGCGGCCAGATGCTGAACCTGGCGCAGGCCCTGAAGGACGGCAAGAGTCCCGTCCAGCTGGTCCAGATGCCGGTGGTGGTGGTGGAGAGGTGAGTCCGCTGACGAGTCGTGGGGCCGGACCCGTCCCGGCTCGGTCCGCCGCCCTCTCCCTGCCCGCGGCGGCCGGGGCAGACAGGCGCTGGCGGCGGGAGGGCTGACGTTCGAGGGGGAAGGACGGCTACGAAAGCCACGTCTGAAGTCTCAGTGACGTGGGGACTTGGCTTTGGCCGAGCACTGGGTGTCGTCCCTTGCATTAGGCCCAAACCCTGGGTTCGATGTCCGACCGATGCTTACGCGCCAGCCAACGGCTTATGAAGAGCGCATGCCGTCTGGACATGATGGACGATGGGGCTGGGACGAGACAAATCGTTCTTGGATGGCTGGGTGTCTTGTCACATTGGGGATTGCAGGTACACTAATATCAGATGGTATTCGGACACGCCACGTGCCATAATTAGTCCTCTCTAACGCCGCCATTGACAGGGCCCAGGCCCCGCGTTATCAGCATGCATTGCGCCCTTGCGTAAATCGCCGTGAGACAGCGCCACGTGCTCGGTATGGACGTTGGGCACGGTGTGTGTGTTTTTCGGAATGATTACGGGTGTCATATCACGATGCGTTGGCCTCGCTGGTACAGGATCGAGTTGGCCACAGCTCCCAAACGTCGGTAATAATGCTGGCATGCTAGCTGCGCCTATTCAGTCGGCAAGAACGAACGCGGTACATGAAAGTCAGATGTAATCCCAGATATTCAGGCGTCGAAAGCCTTCGCAGCCCTTTCCCTCATATCTGGGAATCGGACGTCTTCAGATGTCTCAGTATTTCACCGATTGACAGGCACAAAGCTTCATCCTTAAGGCTATCACTAACTACCACCGCGGAAAATCTTACTTGTCGCAGCTTCTCGTATAGATGCCTGGAGAACGGTGCTGCAGAGAAATGTTGGTAATTGGTAGGGGTTGGTAGAATAGCTGACGAAGTACATGACACGGTGGACACGCGAGTGCTTCTTCATTATGACAGTTGGTCGTGGTCTGTTCAGATAGGGCCGAGCTTCCTGACCCGGTGGATGGGGTGTAATGTAGGGGCTCGCTCTCGACAGCGGGACTGTGGGGGCTGTGTACAGGCTAGGCATCGACGGATGTGCAGCTGTGGTGTGTATTTGTCTGATGTCATACGGAGGCCTCGTTGGCGTACGACAGACGTTGCTTCAGACCACGGCATACGCACGGTCTGCTGCTTGTTCTGTAAGCTCAGCAGCATGGCGCATGTGTTGCATGGGATATCAGATATGTCAGATCGAGGCTGTCCTGAACACCGCGCGTTCCCGACCGCGAATAATTTTTGATTACAAGGGTCAATTGTTTATAAGGGGTATGTCTTCCTGTCAGGTGCCAGTGCGTTCACTCAAGACGTCATGTATGTATTTCATGTATTTCATGTATTTCATGCATGAAAGTCGCACACATGAAAGATACATATTTGTATCGCTCACTCAGGGAAGCGATTGAAACTCGGTTTGTTTTTAGTGCCGAGCACGGCACATGAAACGGCTTCGAATTTCCGCCCCGTAGCTGTGCGATCCGCTAACATTGCACTTTGTTTACAGCCGTTTTCATTTCGCTGCTGGAACAAATGATGATTGTTTTTGTTCGCAAGTAGTTTTCATCGTTTGGTATTGCATTTGCTGACGGTGCGACGTGCCGGCGACAATGGGTGATGGTCACGCACGTTCAGCGGAAGCACAGGGCCGTTTGGCGTGATGGGTGACTACTGGCGCTTCGTCGGACTTTTACTGAGAAGGACACGCGCGCTCGCGTGTCACTAGAGGTCACCCTCCTGTGGCGGCGCTGCGTTAGAGGCAGCCTTAATGATCCCTGGCTGGTATCATGTGCTGCACTTCACCGGCTGGACTGGAATGCTACATGGTGTGGATCCAGCTCCGCAAATTGGGGCTCCAAGTTGCAAGTACTGTGGCCGTTACCCGAAAATAAGTCATAGAAATAAGTTATCTGATCTCTAAGATTAAGCATAGCTTTAGAACAACGCGTTTGTTGTGGTCCAATCTCCAAATCTGGTGACAACTGCTGGAAAACCGAACCTGAAGAGAGGCTGTTTTCGCCTTTTGGGAGGGGGGGGGGGGGAGCGGGACAGCCTCGTGGTCTCCACCGCTTGGATTCGCCAGCGCTGTAACGCCGATCGTGTGCTGGTGACTTTCAAGCGGGAGCACTGTGTTGCGCGGCTCAGCGCTCTGGTCAGAGATGTACTTAACGTTAGACGGGTGAGATATGACCTAATGGAGCGCCGGACCGGCGTGATGTTTTGCCACGTGCCCTCAAGCTGAGATGACGACGCTACAGTAGGGTGGTCGTATCGATGTTTTCAGTTCGTCGTTTGTGGCGTTTGCCTAAGTGAATTTGCCTAAGAAATGTGGACTTCACTTGTTTTCACAGAGGCATATCAGTCTTCACCAGCTACCTAAGCAGTGCCGAAAGTTATTCTCGCTTTAAGAGGACGCGTAGCTCATGAACCCCCAATAACTCCAGCAACGTTTGTAGCAGCAAAGCTGTATTGACTGCGTCGCTTGTTGTCGGGAGGGAAGACGGGAACGATTGATTGGCGCGTCCTCCCGGCTTTGTGCTGCCGACATCGCCGACATCCGACATCTATGTCGACGTTTCCGTGCCGCTGAGCGCCGACATCTGACGTGCACGCGGCGCAGCCCACCAGCTGCTCGCCTTGACGCTCCCGCCCCGCTCTGTTGCAGGGCGAAGGGCGGTCACAGCGAGACCCGCTTCCGCTCCATCAGCGACACATTCACGCAGCGGTTCCAGCACAAGTCGCCCTTCTTCTCGTGGTGCTAGTCGGCCAGCGCGGCCCGCTGGGTCGGGCCCGGCCGTGCGCAGCGCTGGTTCTGGGGCGGCGCACGCTCGCCGGCACCGACAGATTGTCGGCGGCCCCCTCCCGCCGGATGAGCTGCTGGCCCATGCGAGCCGGGCCCGGCCCAACCGGGCGCCGGCGGCCGGGCTGGCCGCTCCAGCAGGCGTCTCCCATACCCCGCCGGCGGCCCGGTGTGCCGCGGCGCGGTTAGCCTTCGGCAGACACGCGGAGCGGCGGCGGCGGCTCCTCCAGCGGCGGCTGGGCGCGTGCCTCGCCCGCAGCGGCGCGCGTGCTGGCTGCAGCGCGCTTCCGTCGGCCCGTGGTGCGGTGCCTGAGTAGGTGACAGCTGACTGGTGGGGGCCGCGGCATGCCACCGTCTGTCGGGCGGTCACGCTGCCCTCAGACGGCGAGGTGGACTGTTCGGACGTGGCCAGGCGACGGAGTGAGGGGGGGGGGGGGAGGGGGAGGAGGGATATGCCGGTGGCCGCACTGGTACGTGCGGGATGGGCAGACAGTATATCTTTGCATGTGATTTGTTGTGTGCCCCACCGTCGGGAGGAGGAGACGGTCTGTACGAAATCGATCACCTTGACTTGGTTGGCACCGTCGATTCTTAGTTGCGCCTCTCGTTCAGGCTAGTCAGCTCTCTGCTTCACCGCTGCCTTCGCATGTGTGATGCACCGAACTTATATGTGTGATTAATCAAACGCCACCGTCGATTGCTTACGTCGCGTGTGAGCGCCGACCTTCCGGACATGCAGCCGTCGCGCATGGTGTGTGCTGACATCCAGCGCGGCGCGAAGTGGCGGCGTGTACCGCGCTGTATGGTCGCATCGGGGCTGGGTATAGGGACGCGCTATTTTCATATCTACCCGTACTGAGGTAAGTAGGCGGGCGGTGACGTATCGCGTGACGTCACGGCGCCGGGGTGATTTAGCGCCAGCTGACCGGTAACGAGAGCGACGCTTGTGATTCGGTGGCGGGTGAGGTGTGGCGACGGGGCGGCCGGCTCGCGGTTCGGCGCCCCTGTGGTCCGAGCGGACCTGCTGTTCTCGGCGCGCCGCTGCCCTCGCGCTGCATAACCTAGTCAGACGAAATACTACGGCCTGGCAGCCCTGACCACGTGTGGCGCCCACACGGGCTCGGGCCCTTCGGCTTTCTTTCGAGTCTGGTCCTGAGCGGATCGTTCGCTTCGTGTTGCCTAGCCGTGTGCGCGCCGACTCGCGAATATATCGGTACCGAGTGTGAGTGCGTCGGTTAAAGACAGCTGATTTATGATCCAGTTGTGCCCTTCGTTTCCATTGTGGTGTTTACTGCAGGTCGTCCCGGGTGGCTCGTGCGCGGCGCGGGCATGACGTCCCTCCTGAGAAAGCTCTACCTGTATCTGTCTGATATTCATCATGAGCGCGGGTGTGATTGGCCAATATATCGGAGTTCACGCTGGAGCATGTCTGCTATACTGGCCAGCGCTGTGGCCCGCTGCGCGCTGTCGGCTCCTGCTATGTCTGGGTCATCTCGTGCTGCCCCGCGCGGGCTTGGTGCGTGCCGACAACAAACTGAGCGCCTAGAACATTGTGCGGCATTTAAGGCGGCTACACGAGGCCTAGACACCACCAAGGGAGTTCTTCGCAGCATTTTCCCCTACTCTTTTGGATGGATGCTGGTTAATCTATTGCTTGACTTTCTTTTTTTTCGTATGCCCTGTGGGCCGCCGCTGACAGCTGCCCGGTAGAGTCAGCATGCTCACCACCTCGTGATGCCAGTAGCGGAAGCAGGGGGGGGGGGGGGGCTCAGGAGCACATACCCTCGCTTTAGGCTCCGAGGGGCCCTTTGGGACTTTCGGGACCAACTATTAAGGGCCCGAAGGGCCGAAAGCTCTGCCACAAGTCGTATTCAGGGACTCGGCCCGCAGGTCCAACACTCTGATGCTAGCCAGAGGTCCCTGAGCGCTGATCATGGGTCCCCTGAGTCGATAAGGGCCTAATGTCGGTCCGACACTACCAGTATTGTACAGTCGGCTCCGCGGCGGCATGGGCCTGAGGGTCCATGCATCAACCAGCGACAAAGCGAGAGCCAGCGGTTTACATTGGTCGGGACTTCAACGTCTACTAGGGCCCCACAACGCCTATGGGGTCCTGTGCTGCTACGGGGGTCCCGAGTCGGCCGGAGGAAGTGTTCGAGGAGGCCCGAAGAGCCTGAGGCCCACCGGGTCCGACGATGAAGGGCCCCATTGGAGGGTCTCAGGGCATGAAGGGCTGGTCGGATGCTTATTCTCAGGCCCCGGTCTGCGGGACTGGCCCTCAAATGATAGTCAGAGGGCCCTTTGCGCTTATTGGGGACCCCCTGAGTCGATGTGGATCTATTTGGTCAGTCAGACACCCATCAGTGCCGCCCAGTCGGCTCCGTGTCGGTATGGATCTGAGGGCCCAATCCCAATCAGCTGCTAAGCCGGGGCCAGCTTTTTACGCTGGTCGGGCCCCTGTAGCTGTCAGGGGCCCATAACGCCTAATAGAGAGTCCCGTGTTCGCAAGGGGCGCGGGCCAACCAAAGGCAGTATTTGATAAACTCGAAGAACGGCCATTTCTCAAGCAGGGACAAGTCCGGGCCGCGATTAACATAGGTCGGAGCCCTTGCAACAACGCTGGGGCTCCTGTATCGGTCAGGGACCCACGGCGCCTGACAGGGCGTTCTGTGTCAACAAAGGGCCACGAGTCGGGTCAGGGAAATATTTGCTCAACAGGGACGAGGACGGGATCCCGAATGGCATAGAGCCTCTTGCGTTGGTTGACACCATCTCACAATGAAAGAAAATCTGAGAAATTACGATGAGTGTCCACATTGAGACAATGGAAGGGTTGTGTCAGCCAAGGCCCCAATGCCAAACGGTGAGGCCGCCAACCCATTTCCAGCACTGGAGTCCAGTTGACAATTATTGGACAGCCTGCGGCCATCAGGGATGTTTTTGCGTCAATGAGGTTCCTGCGTCGATTTGGGACCAACTGCGCGGGCCAGAGGTCCTTCCGCGTCGGGGAGCGAAACAATGTGGTTATGATGTATCCCTCTAAGGGCCTCCGGATCGACCAGGGGATTCTGCGTTGTGTCCCCAGAATGGCAGCCGGAAGGCACCACGCTGTTTGACCAAGCTTCAGCGCTTTACCGGGGACATTAATGTGCCCTCTAGTGTTCTACTCAAGTGGGGCCCCATGCCCGGAAAGAAAAAAGGAATCTTATTAGCGTTGAATAGAGTAGGTTGAAGTGAGTTAACGAACAAGGCCATCCCATGCTTACCAGAGAACGTTCTCTCCTTTACAGAATCGACTCGTGAAACAAATGACGTCGAAAGGTTTGAGCTTGCGCGCCGGGAATCTCGGAAGCAAGGACAGCGATGGCCTAGGTTCAGTTCCCGTAAAATCGATTGGCGTCGGCCACTACAAGTGACACCAGGCGGCGGGTGCCGTGTGCGCGAGAACGACCGTTGTTAAATTATCGCTACGAAAGTCTTTTAAAATCAGGGTTAGACTGGGTGTATATTTGTTGCAATTTTGAGGTTGTCCTCTGCATAGGTTAACAGTTTCACAGTTACAGCAATACGAAAATATATGTTTACCTTTCTCTTCCAGTTCCACCGCCGGATTCCAGCACCACCTCAAGGAGTTGTAAAGGCCAGTTCGTTCTTATTAATATAAAATTTGCATAGGTAAAGGATATGCCCGGACCATCTTCTAATTCTAAGATTTAAAGTTCCAAGGCGCTCAAAGATGCTTCCTTCAGAGCGTCATCATTTTCGTCCGTCCGTTGTCTGCGGCTCAGCATGAGCCGCGTGGCCGACGCTGCGACGTATATGAAGACTGGAACGCTTGGCGTCGAGGTTTGTGTTGCCAAGATTTGCGACCGTGTTGTTCAAACCAACCATTACATAATGTGTGTTGCTAATCGATGCTGGCTGAATGTTGGACATTTCCAGGCAAGCATGGCTTGGCCGTGTAACCTACAAATTGCTGACCCATTTCGATCTACAAACTGCATTCGCGTGGTATTTAATGTGTCAATAGAACCAAGATAAAACATCTGACAAAGTTTCTGAGTTCTATCGGATTAGAATGAGTCCACTGGCCATTGTTAGATAAAGAGCGCCGCTGATTCATTTCATGCGGTCGTTTAAAGCAGTTATGTTTAAGCAGTTATGCTTGAAGCATTTATGCAGTTTAGGACTGTGAAATTCTGGCAGAATGATCTTGCAGTAGCTTCTTGCTTTTATACTCCAGTTATAAAACGTACAAATAGCAAACATGTCAAAGAAAAGCATACTCTTATTATGAAATGGGTCCATATCCGGCGATGTTTGGGGCCCTTTGTCCACCCTGTGCCCCCACCCCTGCCAAGGCTCTGGTTGCGCACCTGCGTGATGGGCGCGCCCGATGTCACCCTCACGAACTCACACCTCCGCCACATGACACACAGCTGTTTCAACATATCGTGATCGTGTATTGACCGACACGGCTGCCCGCCCGTAGCGCACCGCTCCGCTCCCTGCTCACGCCGCGGACGGGGGCACGACACGCGCCGCGTCGCTCTCTCACCGGACGGGCTGTTCGCACGGTCCATCGACTCCAGCTGTCGATGCGTCCGTCGTGTGCTGCGATTCCGCTGCTGTGAACTGCAGGCTAGCCTAGGGGTCGGTGGTCATTTGTGAGTCTAGATCTGAAATGTTCACGGCGTACGTGTTCGTCAGATCTGTGGTGGAGCAAGAGTCTCGTGTCCCTTTGTAGTGTGTGTGTACGTGAGTGTGTATAGGGGTCGCCAGCATTGTCCTGTGGCAGTTGTCCTTTGTGAACTACTGTGTGGTCCAGGTCGCCGCTGTGAACTTTGCTGGCTCTGTGAGCCAGCAGGTGCCATTGCATTGTCCTGGACGACTCCTATGCGGGTCTTCCGGGGCGGCCGCCGCGCAATGGGTCCCATCGGCTTCATTGTTGGCTTCATTGCATTAAATTTAGAGATATTTTAGTGTAAAAATGAATTTCTCCAGCAGGCGGAAAGAAGCTCCTAGCATTTGACCCTTATTACTGTAGGTGGGCGATACGTATGTGCAGTCACTGGTCTCCGTGAAAAACTCCGTGGAGTTTTCAGCAGCTTGTGACCACAGACCTTTAATAGATGTGTTGTACTTTAATAGATGTGTTTTCAAAGCGTTTAAATGCGAGTGTGTGGATCAGGTGAGCGCGTTTTGCAAACTTGCAATATCGCACTTGACCTCTTCAACGTCAACACAGGAACTGAGGCAATTTTATATCACAAAAAAGAGATGGAGAACGCGGACCGGGAACAAGCCCAGACTTCGGTTGCCAAGCGTCGCAGCAAGGCCTTATGCCGACGGAGGAGAAGGCTGGGCGATCGTACCGGTCAAACTGAAGGTTGGCGTCTGCAGGCTATCACGCGGTCTCACGTGCCAACCGTAGACCTGTCCGTTCTGGAGACTTAAGGACTGATGTCAGCTTACAGGAAGACAGAGCAGACGAAGACCTGAAACTGAGTGCACAGTGTGCGTGACGGTACGTGCGTAACTCACTGACGAACTTCTACACATCCGACCAATGGGCTACACGGCCAAACGACCGAAAACAGACAGTGCCACCTTTTGCAAAGACGATCCCAGCTACAAAACGCTGCCGCAGCCCGAGTCAAGATAGTCTGGGCCACACAAACTACACAGGATTGTTATGCTGTGGCAATTTGGATAAATATTCTTTCAAAATATATGTGCTGTTTTGCAACTACGTTGGTCACTATTGACAGAACTGTGAATTGTCGTTAATCGTCGATAGTGTCAGCTAAAAACGACTGACCTGACCGTGTCCGTGGGCCAGATCGGCCTGAATTTCCAGCAACGTTTGCTAGGTGAATTTCGGGTATTTTAACAGTGGCGCAGTTGGCGTAATAAACTCGACAGAGGGGGACACTTCAGTGCATTTTACAAATCAAATTCGTATGTGCTATGAGAGGGGGCGTTCGGTATCACTCTGCCACCTTATTTCGCGCCTTATTATTATCGCACCCTGCACCATATTCGCACCTTTGGTATCAATTACACAATGATAAAAGTTCACAAGTAAACGGTTTCGCTCGTCCTACGGCACAAAAGAAAGCTTGCGAGTGCATATTGCCTCCCCAGTCATCTATGACAGACATCCAAAAACGCTGATTTGCTCCCTCACAACCTGCACCGCTCGTATTGTGCATCGACACACTTTTGGACTGCGTGACATTGTCATATGAATTGGGGTCTTTAATACCTGTGGTTGGTTTGTGCATACGTCCACGATGCAAATGCATACGCGGTACTTTACAGATACCCGATTCAGTGGACTGATAGAGCCTATTCGTGGTCACCTGGACTGGCGCGCAGGTGCTTGATTTGAAGAGCATAAGTTGGATCACAAAGACATGGCGTGAGAAGATGAGCCGTTCATCGCTATCCATTGACGCATTTAAAGCATGGCAGATGGGAGGGTGAATGTTATGTGCAGAGTAATTTCGAAACAGATCTGACCCATGCTGTGTTAGTAATTAATTAGTGCAGTTCTAGTGGGCCGGCTGCCGCCAGTGAACTCCCCTAATGGTGTGGACCGGCCGCTGTCCGTGAGCTGTCCTGGTTCTGTGAGACCTACTACTGTCCGTGTTATGGTCTGGATCTGAGGATTGGCTGCTGTCCGTGTTATGCTCTGGTCCTGTGGACCGGCTGCTGTCCGTGTTATGTCGGATCTGCGGACCGGCTGCTGTCCGTGTTACGCCCTGGTTCTGTGGATCAGCTGCTGTCCGTGTTATGCCCTGATTCTGTAAACCGGCTGCTGTCCGTGTTATGCTCTGGTTCTGTGGATCGGCTGCTCTCTGTGAGCTGGCGGGGCTCTGCGGTGCGAGCTCCAGCGGCGTCCGGCGGCGCCGGCGGCAGCGGCACACGGCCAGCTCCAGCGCCAGCGCCAGCAGCCCGGCCGCGTGGCCGGCCGTCAGCACGATGAACGCCCCCTGCACGTGGTACACAGACAGCGCCACGAAGCGGGGCCGGGGCGCGGCGTGCGGCGTCGGCGCCGGCGCCCCTGGTCTGCTCCCTGCGCCGGCGCGCCACCGTATCCAGCTCCCATTTGCGGATCAGACCGGCCTCGGTCAGTCGCTGCATCACCGCGTCGAACTTGTGCACGAACGGCGCCTTCGGCCGGAAGCCCAGGCGAAGTTCTGTCGGCGGACGGTGGGGCGGATTTTGACCGGGGAATGCCCTCCGATCGCCAGGCATCACGGACGATTGGTTTGGTGATGTCACCGGCATTCAGCTGCACCAAGGGTAGTAATGACGCCCGCACCGCCCCATTTTGCAGCCCGTGGCTAGCGCGATAGCCAAAGTCACAGAGGGGTGAGAACACGAATACCGCATCGCCGTTACAAACATCACCGAGCAGTACAACACCACATACATTACCGTTGGCTCTAGAGCGTCCTGCGTGGCAGTTTAGAGGGTCAAGCAGTATGGTGCTTGGCAGCAGAGGCTTCTCCCAACCAGACAAGCCATCGGAAACGAGAATGACTCGAATGATGTTGAAAACATTCGGAGCATTCATGTTACCATCAATGTTTTCCGCGACATTTCAAATGTTTACAAACATTTCCCGCAGAATGAAAACGATGAAAAATCATCACGAACATGATGATCTGTTTTAAAGAACACACAAGATCGGCGTCAGTGCCCCAGTTTTACAGTGTGCTTGAGTGCATGCGAATAACGCCCATCTCACCTCGGGCGAGAAGGCCTCCTTGGCCATATGGACCAGCGGTCGGCCGCTGCTGTCCGAGTACCGTTCCGCTATGAACGCCTGCAGGTTCGACCTCCACGAAATGAAGGCGTACCGCTCGGTCAGTAGCTTGACGAACGAGTCCTCGATGTTGTGGTACTGCATGGAGGCGAACAGCCGCTGCGGGAGCGCAGGGCGCCGCGTCAGACCAGCGTCAGACTGGCGCTGGCGAGGTCAGACCAGCGTCAGACCAGCGTTAGCGAGGTCAGACCAGCATTAGACCAGCGCTAGCGAGGTCAGACCAGCGTCAGACCAGCGTTAGCGAGGTCAGACCAGCGTCAGACCAGCGCTAGCGAGGTCAGACCAGCGTCAGACCAGCGTTAGCGAGGTCAGACCAAACCAGTCATGTCGCCTCCGGTAACACGCCCCCGGTTCGAAATTAAGGCAACACGCTTCATGGACTGTACTGTGGCCTTCATATGACATAGCAGATAGGTACGTCATGATTTTTTTCTCAGCAGTTGCGCCGAGCAGGCGGAGATGACTGCATAACTTTGGTCGTTAAATCGCTCCTTTTAATGCTGTGCAGTTTCCTCCATGGCGCCTGTTTTAGCCATTCCGTCGCCGTAAGCTGTTCAGTGCATTTGCGACGAACATTATGGACGAACGTCATGGATAAAAACATTAGTAATAGCCTTACTCCTCGGATAAAACCGGGAGAATGGAGATATAGATGAGTCGATGTTGCGGCAATGTGCCTTTATCGAAACAATAGCAGGAGTTTCACTTCTGCTATTTATCGAAATAATAGTAGATGGCTCACTTCAGCTATTGTTTCGATCAAGGCATGTTGCCGAAATATCAACCCAACTATATCTCCAGTCTGCTGGTTTTTTCCGAGGATAAGGCTAATTACTACTGTCTTATCCATTCCGTTTTCATGTCCCTAGCAGCTTACGTAGATAAGAATTTGCGGGTAGGATGTCGATCATTCGTGAAGCTCTGCACCTGGTCATTACACTTCACGCACGTGTGTCATAGTCGCTCTCTGTCCCCCTCCAAACGTTCACTCACGCACTGTGCACCTAATCACAAGCAAATGCGCCATCGCCGCGCGCTAGCGATGCGCACCCCCCACAGTCCACCTGACGGGCACAGCAAATAACCTTCGCAGGCGTCATGTTATGCACCGAGGCCTTGCGTGACGCCCCAGCGCCGGTGTAAGTCACACGGCCGCCCTCGCGGGGGTTGATGATATCACGCGTGAGCCGGCCCGGCGGGCCCTGGGGCCGGCTCCAGTGACACGCCACCAGAGCCGGAAGCCGGCGGCGAAGCAGGAGGAGGGGCGTGGACCGCCCGCCGGTCCGGTCCGTGCCGTGTAATGTCAGGCTCACTCCACTCGGAGCCACGTGTCTCTGAGTGTTCAGCGGAGTCCCAGACGAGGGGTGTGGACCGCCCGCCGGTCCGGTCCGTGCCGGATGACGTCAGGCTCACTCCACTCGGAGCCACGTGTCTCTGAGCGCTCAGTGGAGTGCCCACTGCCCAGTGCGTGGAGTGCCAGACACCGCTCGGCGGTCCGGTCTGTGCAGGGTTGACACCAGGCTCCCCCACCCCCAATCTGTGCCGGGTGTCTCTGAGTGTTCAGTGGGAGTGCCAGATGAGGGGCGTGGACCGCCCACCGGTCCGGTCCGTGCAGGGTGACGCCGGGCTCCCCCCACCCCCCCAACCCCACCTCCACTCTGAGCCGGGCGTCTCTGAGCGTTCGGTGGGAGTTCCCACCGCTCAGCACAGCCGTCACGCCGCCTTTCTCCGCGTATCGAGCTTTAGGCCGTTAAAGGCGGATGGGGGAGGGTTGACTAATGCAGATGACCACTGGGGGAGGTGACAACACGTAATGCAGATGACCACTGGGGGAGGTGACAACACGTAACGCCTGTCTTACACCAACGTCACTGAGGCCTACTGTGCGTCCGCCAGAGCTCAGTGCACGCTACTCTCACGCTTATGTGTGACAATGTTCAGATGACGTGAAAGGTTAGCACGAATGAACATTTTCAAACAAAAGAACGTCGGTTCCAAGGAAATGACTATCTGCGCAGACAAGGCGGGAATCAGGACGTGGTTTGCACACATGATACACGACACCGCTTGCGCGAAATCTGATCCATGCCAGTCAGTACGGACCCTACAATAGCTAGAAAACCCGCCCTGAACACGATCAAGAAGTTGGGAGGTGGGTGGAATGACATTGGACCAAGGCGCAGCTGCGTAATGCTCTCTCCTGAATTGAGTGGCATTGCATAAATGAGTTCGTGCTTAGATACAGTTCGTTCAAACCTTTTGGGCGATCATTTTGAGAGGTCAGCCGGCTCGCTATCTCAACCAACTGTTGGAGAGTTTAGTTCGGAAAAACAGCTGAGAAATCGGTTGAGGCAAGTTCGACTCTGACAATGTTCTATCATGGCTCCAAAGATGGACTGCAGATCAGACGGTGTGTAGCCAGGGCGGACTGGTCTGCTCTGAAGCGTGTCTCGACTCTGTCTTGGTAGTGGCGTGCATAATAGCAAAACTGTCTTATATATGCTACCCACGTTCGACTTGGGCATGCCGGCTGTTAAGTATTAATAGCTGCATGATCCATGCATTCTAAATATATTACGCATATATTCTCGCGTAAGTAACACTGCACATCATGTAACCACGGGGACGTTTGGTTTCTTCAACCTATATCAAAACACCAAAACGTGCCCACAAGGACCCCGTGATCCGCATGCTCCAAAGACTGTGGCGCCTCACCTGGTAGACGGGCATCGGCGAGGTCTGGAAGAGGATGTGGTCGGATCCGTACGTGTTCGTGATGCCCCAGGAGAAGCTGCTGGACGCCAGCTCCTCCAACGAGTTTATGTTCTTGCTAAATGACGGCACCGTCATCATAGCAACCAGCGACGACTTGTAGGCGGTGAGAATGATGATGCAGTACAGCCACCACCAGCCGAGAAAAGTCTGTTGAGTGCCAGGACATCACGCCTCAGGTACATCAACGTAAGGTTAGTATTCGCCGATTTCTATCAATGTACGATGCGAACAAACTGTTCATGAGCAGGGGGTGTTCGCGGACAGCTGACCGGTCGACAGTGTGAAGCTGCGAATAACACAAACGAAAAGTGGTTCGTGAACTGTTCACAAACTGTTGGTGAACACCCAAGCTTGCATTAATGAGAGCCATGCAAAGAGACCTTTTAACCTGTGTTTAGGGTATCCAACAACGTTGCAGGACAGAATTTCGTACTCGTTTTTTTTCGTACTTTCGTAAATTTCGTAAATTCGTAAGAGAGCCCACCGCGCTCTCTTACTCTCAGCCTGCCGCGCTCTCCTACCCTCAGCCTGCCGCGCTCTCCTACTCTCAGCCTGCCGCGCTCTCCTACTTTTAGCCTGCCGCACTCTCCTGCCCTTAGCCCACCGCGCTCTCTTACCCTCAGCCTGCCGCGCTCTTCTACCTTCGGCCTGCCGCACTTTCCTGCTCTCAGCCTGCCGCGCTCTTCTACCTTCAGCTTCTACCCTCAGCCTGCCGCGCTCTCCTACCTTCAGCCTGCCACACTCTCCTACCCTTAGCCTACCGCGCTCTCTTACCCTCAGCCTGCCGCGCTCTTCTACCTTCGGCCTGCTGCACTTTCCTGCTCTCAGCCTGCCGCGCTCTTCTACCTTCAGCTTCTACCCTCAGCCTGCCGCGCTCTCCTACCTTCAGCCTGCCGCACTCTCCTATCCCTTAACCGACCGCGCTCTCTTACCCTCAGCCTGCCGCGCTCTTCTACCTTCAGCCTGCCGCGCTCTGCTACTTTCAGCCTGCCGCACTCTCCTGCTCTCAGCCTGCCGCATTCTCCTACCCTCAGCCTGTCGCGCTCCTCTACCTTCAGCCTGCCGCGCTCTGCTACCCCTCAGCCTGCCGCGCTGTCCTGCCCTGAGCCTGCCGCGCTGCACTTCTTCGCCAATGACAGTCAGTAACCGGGGAATATGGCACTCCAGCTGAGCGTTGGACGTAGCCTCCAAGCCGACCCTTCATTTTTCCTGTTTGACTTAACACCAGAAGACCTTGATTGGCCCTAGCTGAGACATATTTAAGGGGTTTCCGTGCGACCCCCGAGTGAGACGTTCGCTCCTCCAGCGGCCCAAGTGGCTCGTCGGTGCAATGTGTGGCTGCCAGGTCTGTCCAGAACACACAGCCACCATTGAGCTGTCAGGTCCGGTCAGAACACACAGCCACCGTTGGGCTGTCAGGTCCGGTCAGAACACACAGCCACCGTTGGGCTGTCAGGTCCGGTCAGAACACACAGCCACCATTGGACTGTCAGGTATGGTCAGAAACACAGCCACCGCTGGGGCATACTTCTGACATGCATGACAGCGGCCCCTGACGTCTATGGCAGGACATGGCTCTGGTCACACTGGCCACGCTCGGACACGTATTAGCGGCTCGGACACATATTATCAGGCGCAGCACCCCTTGAGTGATCTGGACGCCACCATACCAGAGGCTTCCGACAGGACTCTCAGTAGGTAGCAGTCTCGTTTTATCAGGCACGTCTGCACCTAACGCAGTATACAAATCCTGGTAGGCCGACATGTCACTTCCATATTAGGTGGCGTGGCTTTCATCGTTCATCACATCTTCCACGACCCAGCACTTCTAGCCCGGCTTCTAGCTCGCTCCAGGCCAACGCTCGGTAAGCCACGGGGTAGCTGTCTGCGTCTTAGTCACGCGCTGTGCTTTGGACTGCCGCAGGATGCACGAGCAGGCTTTCACTCTTGTGTTGTATGTGGTGCCCCCTAATTCATGGATTTGGCGCACACTGCTATGGCTAATCTTGCATTTACAGACGGATGAATACCGTTTACATTTGTGCTTGGTTGAACGGATTAGATTACTTCTTCGTCCGTCGGTCATCTTGAATATCGGCTCGCAAGCTTTGTCCTCACGTTTGTGCTCCGTGCCACTTCTTATATATGAATTGCTCAAATATTATAAACCGTTATCTTGACTTCTCAGAGATAAGATTTGCATGTGATTAGTTGGGCACAATTGCTTGCGTGACAGAAGTCATACGAAGATTTTCCTACGACATTGTGCGTACGAACAAATACGTTACACATAAGTGTGATGCAAAGTATTGTCCGCTCGCGACACAGCAACCTGTACGCTGGCATGTGGCGATAAAGCAATGGTGATGTGGCAATAAAGCTAAGCTGGCGATGGGCTGCTTAACGTAAAGGTAAGAAGCTTGCCGTGCGTGTAATTGCTTTGTTCATCGTTGGAATAATTCGGATGCGTGCGAAGTCGAGTAGCGTGGGAATTACAGCACAAGTCGCGTGTGTTCCTCAAATTTTGAATGAACCGGACCTTCGTTACATACGTCTTAAGACAGAATCGGAGTTCAAAGATGGAGTCAGTTTGTTCCACGTTCCTCTTGCGTGTCTTATCTGAGCAGTTCCGAGGCATACATGAGTCGATTCCCGTCACACGAGTCTGCATGGAACCATGTCGTGTGCCCAGACTCGCATGTCGTATGCCCGGACTCGAACCTGGTCTGCCACGTCGGCGGGGTAGACTCAGCCGGATTAGAGGAGGCGGAGCGACCGGCGGAGTCCACCGGGTTAGGGGAGTCGGAGCAATCGGCGGAGCTTACCGGGTTAGTCCGTTCCCCCCTTCTCGCTCTCGGGGTTTGCACTGTTAGCCGCACTACAGCGTGCTAGCTGGGGAGAAGGGGGAGGGGGGCAGGGTGGCAGGTTGAACGCTACGTGCGTCGCCTCTACGCCGCATTGCCTCAGTCCCCCGCTGAGTCAATTTGCTGTTGTATTCGCGTGTGTGTGCCTGTGCGAGCAGGCCTGCTGCGATGCTAATGGATGTTGTCCACGGCGGAAAGGCGGTATTACATTGGGTGTTCCGCGCTACTTGTGATGAAGGCCATGATTGCTATAGGGATGATCACCACGGCGCTTATACATGCGCATAGGTACTTCCCTTGCGTTATGGTTCGCACGTGCATGCATAATATGTCATGCTCGTGAATATACTGTGATTGATCAAAGTGCACGAGTTGGATTATGTGCTGTTGGTGAACTGCTGCCCTTCCGGGTGGCTTTGCTTATTAGCGATGACGAAAGCAAGAACATCATGGTGATACCGCCACGCGCACCAATATCCTTGTTTGCTGTGGAGGACACAGAACTGTAAATTTTCTGCCCAGCGCTAACCTGGGCGATGGCGGAGTTGGCCGACGGACGGCTTTGGCTCGGTGCTAACCTGGATGGCGGTGGAGTTGGTTGGCAGGCGACTTTTGTTCGGTGCTAACCCGGGCAGCGGTGGAGTTGGTCAGCAGATGACTGGCTTGGTGCTAACCTGGCCGGCGGTGGGGTTGGCCGACAGACGATTCTGGCTTGGTGCAAACTTGAGCGGCCAGACGACTCTGGCTCGGTGCTAACCTGGGCGGCGGTGGAGTTGGTCGGCAGACGACTCTGGCTCGGTGCTAACCTGGGCGGCGATTGAGTTGGCCGGCAGACGGTGCTGGGCGTTCTCGCACATGGCGCCGTACGAGTTGAAGATGGACAGGCCGAGCGAGAAGCGCCGCTCGGGCTGCGGGTGCAGCCGCGTGAACATGAAGGCCAGGCAGCCGGAGATGACCGTGGATGCGATGGTGACCAACCAGAGCGGCGCTGCCGGAGCAGGCGCACCGCTCAGTGGGCGGGAGGGCGTGCGGGCACCGCGGCCACTGGCACCGAACAGCTGCCCAGCCCGGCGCTGTCGCGACGGCCGGCCCGACCCCACTCCAGTCCCCTGCCAGCGACTCTCCGCATCAGACGGTCACGTGACGGAGGGGCCGCTGACCTGATGTCACGTGGTGCAGAGGGGACGGTGATCTGTTGTCACATGGGGCGATGGGGACGATGAATTGCTCTCTCATGGAGCAGGAGGATGGTGACCTGATATCAGATTGGATGCAGGTGTCGGTGGCCTGGTGTCAGATGGGATGCGGGTGTCGGTGGCCCGGTATCAGATGGGATGCAGGTGTCGGTGGCCTGGTATCAGATGGGATGCGGGTGTCGGTGGCCAGGTATCAGATGGGATGCGGGTGTCGATGGCCTGGTATCAGATGGGATGCAGGTGTCGGTGGCCTGGTATCACACGGGGCCTTACAAAGGCAGACGTACGGGCGGCGGCTGTCTTCCACGTTTCACACGCGTAATTATTTCACGATTTGCGGCACTTGCGTGATTCTTGGCAACTGGTTCCATCCGTGGACTAGGCACATGCACGCTGCATACTAAGTGTATGCATTGTGTATACCCGTATATAGCATCTCTGATGATACCATTTGCCAACAGCTGTGAAGGACTAGGGCCATTGCCTTAGTCACACCGGCAAGCTTCCCACGCCTCGGATAGGTCACGGAGAGGGTCACGTGCGCCTAGCATGGATATCACGTGTGCCACGATCAATGCACCCGTTGCGGTGCATGGAGAGGCTCCAAAAGCGGCGTCCTGGCGCCGGCGTCATACATTGGCAAACTGTCACCCGCGCATCGCCCTCGCCTTCCATTCCGCCATGTTCCCACAAATTATGACGCTGGGGAAGATAGGATCGATGCCTACAATATTGATCCGAAACACCCTTTGGCCAGATATTGCAGGCATTTAGCACTCGGGTGCGCACGACAACATCCTCAGCCACATGCCATGGTTCACCTACATAGATGTGCACTTAACTGACCTCATGACATTGCATCGCCTAAAGCTGTCTGGAAATTAAAGAATACCTGAGCTTATAGCCACCTCTGATGATTTCAGATCATGCAAACACAAATAATGATCGTCAGATTAATGAACAAAATTCAAACGTTCTGTGTAATGTGCATTTTTAATAGCTGTTATATGCAACAATAATCAGCAAAATGATCATGTATTATTATTCCGCGGATGACCGTGGTACTGTACCGCAAAGTGCTAACGCATTTACATCAACACATTCTTTTTATGACAATGTAATACCTTGAGTGCTATAACAGCCCCATTAGTCGGTAGACTGTTGTTGAATGGCATATTGACGGCACGCACCTACATAGATCTCCCGAAGGTAGCAGGCGGCGTGGCCGACCAGTCGACTCATCGTCGCCAATGACGTAAACAAAACACGCCAACACGTTAAATCGGCACCATTCAAAACGGTGCGCGCACTACAGCTTGGGTGTCCTTGACATGTGGCTGTATGAACACCTTCACTTCGTCCCGGTCCATTTATACTGGTGTCAACACGTTTGTTGTCGAGATTGTTCGCGACATCTAGACCTCTTCAATGGCACGTGTGAGCATTATTATGAAATATATATATATATATATATATATATGTATATATATGTATGTACGTATATATATTGGTGTTGAAATGCTACATGCAGTGCTGCATGTGTTGCGGGGCTGGAGATGCAATCACAATATGCATGGATGAAAAGCAGTTATGGATGAGCGATATAAATAAAGGTCATTGCATAGTTGGAAATCAGGTAGACATGCAAGGCATAGCGTACATTGCAAGTGCTCGTTTGAACCGAGCCATTTCGCCACGTCGTGGACTGCAAAGTGGTGATGGGGTGATGATGGCGTGGTGATGAGTGTGATTCTGAACTGGTCGACATTCAGACACGCACACGTCCGGTGTTTTGAGAGCGATCTCGGAGTAGTCTTTGAACTCAGGCAAAATATCACAAAAAGTGTGCATAATATAGATTAGATGTGATTGACGTTATTTCTTCATCTATATATGTGTTCCGAATGCATGGTTTCGCGTCAGTGCCTCTGTCTCAGCTCGATCCGCGCTGCATCAGGCCATATCTGGGCGGAACCGTGGCCGAGTTATGACGTGCTTTCGAGTATGTGAAAACTAGCAAAACAGATTTTGACCTTATGAGTTCCGAGTTCTTGTACTGAGTTATGGGCCTTCAGCAGACGAGGAGATGACTGAATGACATTGTAGAGCAAGCGTTGCTTATGTTTTCACGACGTCTCAAGTTTGCTTATGATCACGCCATAGTTTTCATGTAGGTAAAACATGTGTACTGGCATAAAGCAATAATACGAACAGCTTATGTGCAAGCGCACCTCGTGATCACAATCACAGCTGAAACGTGGAGTAATGGCCATATAACCGATGTTTGTTTTACAAACGTCGTTAAACCACCACTTTCTGGTACGTTGATCGTCGACAATCCATTATAAGAGCTCTGAACTAACAATGCTGAAACACCAGGGGCTGAAGGGCTTCCATGTATCAAGTAACCACGATTTTATGTTCACGTCATGATGCGACTACAGAATTGCATTTTTCCTTTGAGGACCCTCCAACAGCTTCCCTCTTTCCCTCCACAGAACCCAGCATCAGATTACCCCCCCCCCCCCACCACCAAATAGCACTTGCCTTTGTTCTATATATTAGTATCTTACACGATCTCACGCATCGAATGTAACATTGTGTTTGAATGTTAGGGTGATAAGCTTTCTAAATGAGTCAGTTTTGTGAGCTCTAACACAGGCTTAGGCCTAAGCAGTGCATAATTCCCCAGCAATTCTGATGAAATGTTGCTCGATGATGTTGCCCCATCGATATGTCGAGATCATGAGGAATTCACGAATTACATGCCAGCAAGCAAACAAACGGAATGTGATAGGGGTCCGCATGGTCGACTACGTTGGTTCGCTCGTTTTACTCATTCACTCACTACATCTGAACAAGTAATGAACACGGATGCATGTCAGCTTTGCGAATCAAAATTGTGTATTTGTGTATTTGCACTGGAGCGACTGCTGCTTGTGGCATTGGAGGATACCGGTTCCCAAAGCTTAGAGAAGTCATGTTATCTAAATTTGTTCTAAAGGCAACTGCGGGTAAATCCTGAAACATCGTTGACGCTATAAACAACTTGACTAATTCTCTACACCTTAACTGATGGCTGAGAACATTCTTAACTCCAGCATAACACCCAAAGAATGTGAAACATTCCAGATCGCTTTATTTGTAATTGTGCGTCATGTAGCACCGCATCGGGCACTCGGGATCACCGTAACGTCGCAGATGGCATGCCTTTTCCCGTTTATCGGATAACCTTCCAGCTTTCGATGCAAGGGAATGAAGAGCGTGACATTGATTTATTGCACGGCTACGCTTAGTGCGTTGTTGATGAAAGGAGCTGAATGTCCATGAGGTCTAGAGGAATGGCGTCTGGTTTTGCTTGCATGCACCTTAGCTGATGATCAATCCATCAAATGGGTTTGCGAAAAACGTTCAAAAAGAGATGGGTGTGGGGTAAGCAGCCCAGCATGAGCGGTTACGATAGCTGAAAGGTGAGCCATTCGATCACCGGTCCAGTCATCACGGGATGCCTTTTCATGCAGGTTTTGCTATTTTACCAGGTGCAGCTCAAACAGGCCAGAATAATTAATGCTGAGGCCGGTGAACTCATGCCGGGATGACGCAGCAGCGGGTAAAAAATTTAATTCTACTGCTCGGGTGGGCATATGAGGGTGTTTTGAAATTACTTATGTAGGATAAAAACAGCCACAAAATTCAAGCATGCCAATGCATAATCAAACCCAATAGCCTGTGTTTCCTGACTAAAAGACATAATTAACTGTAACAGAATACGCACGATTCCTTTACACCGACCGTGGCCGCTCGCCCTAGCCCACAAGATACACACGGCACAGCACAAAGCCTTTACACCGACCTTGGCCGCTCGCCCCAGCCCACCAGATACACACGGCACAGCACAAAGCCTTTACACCGACCTTGGCCGCTCGCTCCAGCCCGGCAGATACGCACGGCACAGCACGAAGCCAGCATCCACGTAACACATGAGTAAGGAGACACTTACTTTCGAATGGTCGGAAGATGGAGAGCCACTGCGGCAGCGGCTGAGCAGGGCTCGTGACGAACACAAACGGGTCGATGGCGTAGATGCGGATGAAGCGGATGACGCCGCTGCGAGCGTAGTTCTGGGTGAGCACCAGCGAGAAGTCGGCCGTCCCGTTTATCAGCTCTCCCAGCACGCCCGTCCAGCGCCCGTTCTTCAGCTGCACACTGCCGAGCAGAGCGGTTCATTGTCACTCTGGGCTCCACCCGAATAAACGGCATGCCTTCCGTCTTTGCTTTGTACCTGCTGGACGGAGCTGTACAACCGTTAGCCCTTTCTCTGCATCTTGCCCAACAGTATGACATCATCAGCTCGCCCTCTGCACCCTGTACGGCAGCAGAACACCGCCAGCTCTTCCTCGATCACCCTCCCTGCTGGTGGTGTGTCTCTCTATACCCTGTGACAGAGCGTCACGCCTGTGACGCTCTGTCACAGGGTATAAAGAGATACCCTGTGACATTCTGATCATGTGTCACATATCTGTGACATATGATCGTATACCTCTGCACCATGCCAGATAGGGCAGTGCACTGCCCGCCCTGCCTCCGCACCTGTCAGGCAGTACTTCCTCTGTCATCATGACATCTTGCCACCCTGCCACTCTGCCACCCTGTCACCATGCCACTATGTCACCTTGCACCCTATCACGCTGTCACCCTGCCACCCTCATCATCCTGTCACTCTGTCCCCCTCGTCACCTTGCCACCCTTATCATCTTGCAACCATGCCACCCTGCCGCCCTGCCATCCTTGTCACACTGCCACCCTGTCACCCTGCCATCTTGCCACCCTTGTCACACTGCCACCCTTGTCACCCTGCCACCCTTGTTACCTTGCCACCCTGTCACCTTGCAGGTGTGTCCTTTTACGCCCTGCCCGACAGAGCGGCGTGTCTCCGGCTCTCCCTCTGCACCCCGCCCGATAAATCAGTATTCCGTCTGTCCTCCCTTCCTACCCCGCCCAATAGATCGGTGTGCCTTGTGCCCTCCCTTCCCACCCGCCCGATGTATCGGTATACCGCCTATCTAATTTTTCCAGCATGACCCTCCCTGCTTTGCTCGACAGGGCAGTACATTATCTGTCCTCCCTCCGTGCCCCGGTCGACAGGGCGGTACGTCTGTGCTCACGCTGTATCCACGCCGTCAGAGCGCTATGCCACCGCGCTGAGCGTTGTTTACCTATACGTATCCTTCTTTGCAGCAATTCGTCCGTTTGTTTTTGTTTGCGGCATTTCCATGTTATCTCCGAATTTAAGTGGCACATCGAGGCGCACGGTTCCAGGCACACGACGGTGCCGACCGAGCCAGATCAGATGGCACAACCAGGCGCACGGATCCAGGCACACGACGGTGCCGACCGAGCCAGATCAGATGGCACAACCAGGCGCACGGTTCCAGGCACACGACGGTGTCGACCGAGCCAGATTAGTTGGCACATCCAGGCCCATGGATCCAGGCACACGACGGTGCCGACCGGGCCAGATCAGATAGTCAGCCTGAATAGGCGCAAATATGGCGTGTGGAAGGAGCGAAGCTGACAGGTGGTTGATGAATGGCCCACTGTTCGCCGGCGACGAGACGGCAAGCTCAGCGTGTCACCCTCAACACCCGCAGGTGAAATCGATAGTGGACCGCGGCTGCTGAATTACATGAAGTACCGTACCAAGCGGCTGTGTATAAAGATTGGTCATAGACTGGGTTGTATATACATTGCGATGTCATGGATATTTTACTATGAACAAGGCAAACATTCATATGGTTGTGAGACCATTACATGAAGTTCTTTACAATGCATTACCATTGGAAGAACTCTACGCAGACACATAGCCGCAATCGCATAACAGTAACTCACATCCAATGCCCAGTAACTCGACACGCGCTCGGCTGGGGGTCAAATTAACCAGAGGAAGATATTCCAGAATGACTTCCGGACGGCGCGGCATAGCCGCGCCAAAGTTTTCATAGCTATAGAGAACTAAGTAGAGCATCTTTTTAAGTAAGAAATGGATGTACCTTGTAAGGTCGCTGACGTACGGCAGGTCAAAGTCAGGCCATGGCCGTCGGCGAAGGGCATTTCTAGGGAATCGTTCAATGTGATGCAACAGCAGAGTGTTAGACGAAGCCATATATATCTGCGGTAGTTTCTTGGCAATCAACCGTCTGAATTAAGAATTTCACCCAATCCCATTGATTTAGGGTCAGGTATAAAGGTCAGAACGAGGCCAAAACTAACCTGCTTTTTCTCGAGACCCTAGATTCATGGGGTAGTTTCTGGTGCTCATTTTAAATTTATTAATGACGGGGACCGCAACAGATGCGTTCCATGGACTTTTAGAGGCCAGAGTAGATCCTGACCTAAAATGACCCGGGTCAACATTATGTTTTAGGAACATACGGTCTAGCGTAATCCCTGACGCTTATTCGAGTGGCAAAATGGGAGCAATCTCCCAGGTATTTGGTAGCCTTGGTCTTACGAAGGTTGGGCAAGGTCACCGACTTCATTGACCTTTTGCTTAGAACGGGGATCTAGCTTCACAGCGGTTGCATGAGGAGCTCTGAGGGCACTTGAAACACTAATCTGGAGTTTGATCTTGTTTGACCTTATTTGACCCAAGACCATGACCTAAGAACCTCAAATTTTGACTCAAGTGAGTTCACGGACAGACTACTCTATCCTGTGAATTTGGTGTCTATAGCTACCTTGTTTTGGGGATATCGTGGGTCAAACTGACCCCCGCCCGAGCGGGGGGTGTTCAGCACGCCGGCCGGGTGCGTGTTGAGGGCTGTTCGAGAGTTTGCCTGCTTGTTAAGGGCTAGAAAAAGTTCATTTATAAACAAGTGTTTGGAGGCGTCTTGATTTCGAAATGTCTTGTCATCACATGTCCAAAAAATGTCAGTGTTGTCTGTCCGTTGCTGACGCGTTAATGTCCCGCCATGTGCGCGTTGCATGTGCTCCAGTGATGCTCCGTCGCGAAAGGTTCGGGAGTGTCGTATATCCAAAAATGTGGTGAATTAAACGATGTTTGCAGCCTTTGTGATTTGAACTGACCTCCCCGTACCAGTGCACTTGAGTTGGCTAGGCTGGTCCACACTGTTTCCAATAAGAAAGTCCTGAGTCGTCTACTGCAATAGCAAATGATGAGGTCTCTTGTGTGGTCGTTCACGTCATTTACATGTCACAAGATGATTTCCCGTGCAGTCTTTGCAACTTTTTCAACAAGAATCGAAAAACCATTGTTCACCGAAGTCTGTTTGATCGTACTAATTTCGGAAGAAGTCCTGTCCGGTCAGAACAATGTTTAAATGCACGTCTGCGCAATGACCTACGACGCCTGACAAGACACTTATGCGACTAGGTAACCTCGGAGCACCGTAAAACGCGCATGACAGGACAACAATGCGACAGAAACTGACGGACAACACTGACATCCTCTAGACACGCGATGACAGAAGATGTTTTCAAATTTGGGGGCGCACATTTTGTAATGAATTCTCTCCAGCCCTAAACGAACAAGCAAACTTTTCCATAACGCGTAAATTTCTGGGTATCAGGCGTTAGTCGCCGTCCAGTGATTTTGGCTATTTTTTTCCGGTGATATTTTAATATTGCTGGTTAGTTTTACATACATCCAGGTGCAGACTTGTCATCACGTAAATAATTGTCTCTTGTTATAGGACCGATTGCCCTCTCCGCAGTAGCAAATCACATGACAACATAGTTGTACAACTTCCGTCTCCTTAAATGTTTGAAACCTGTCATTTGTTTCATTTATCTATTTCCATGATGAGATATGATCTCGAAACATTAGACCATCAGATACCAACGAATGTATGAGTGATTTTGCAAAAACATTCTCTAACCCGAACGATAACATGAAAACGAAAGTGGAGAACTCGAAGCGCAAAAACTTCGTTAAATTCGAACCCGCGTTGTTTTAAAAAAATAAACCATGTATGAAACAAAATTCAAGATATTCAGACACACACACACACACACACACACACACACACACATACACACACACACACACACACACACACACACACACACACACACACACACACACACACACACACACACACACACACACACACACACACACACACACACACACACACACACACACACACACACACACACACACACACACACACACACACACACACACACACACACACACACACACACACGCGCGCGCACACACACACACACACACACACGTATATGTATATGTATATATATATATATATATATATATATATATATATATATATATACATATATATATATACACGCACAGAAGATATATATATATATATATATATATATATATATATACAATTAATTGTGTTCTTACATACAATTACATTACAATTAATTTATATATATATATATATATATATATATATATATATATATATATAGGGAGGTCTCAGGAAAACAGACGTTCTTATTTCCTTCGGTAGGTGTCAACAAAGAGCAAACAAGAACACATGCACATACCCAGAAAAGTAAGCTAGTGCCGTTTTTTCCTCATGTTTGCTCAAATGCCAGCATGTATCAATATGGCCTTGAGTACCATGCAGCCGTGCAGCACAGACGTGAAAGCCGAGATCGTAACGCTCTGCGTTGAACACAATTAATTGTAGTGATACCGCGAAAGTTCCAGTGACACTTCATGACCTGAAGAATGCAATTGAGAAGCGTACTTTTGGATGTGCAACAAGAAACAGTTAAAGTCACGGAGAGTATCGAGCATCTACAAAGCAAAGATGTGGCGGAAGCACACACAACGGAAGCCATAACGCACAGAAGACCAAGGAGGATCTAACACGCAGCACCAACAACCCTTGCGACGGCTGGGCCATGAGTACGACTGCAGCAAGGCCGCTGTCCAGAAACTGGCAGCAGCTGAAGGAAAACTTTCCCATTGTAAGTTTTCATTCATGAAACGCTCAATTTTAGCTCCATTGGCTATAAACGACCAGCGTCGATCCGCGTGCGCAGAAAGACGTCGCCTAGAATCATTTTCACGACAGGAAGTCATCATTTTGACGCAAGGGGCGGAAATTGTAGTGGCTGATCATTGCACCAGGGAAGTACGCGATTACAGCAAGGGCGCTCTCCCACCTTTACTCCAATCGCTCGTCGGCGGAGACTGAACGATT